CATTGTTGCAGTTAGTGGAAAGGAGCCTCCATGTCGAAACGGAACTAATGCCGCGTGGTGGTTCTCGGTGACACTTCACATTCTGTTCTCGGATAGGCAAGTGATTACAAAGGAAATGCCCTTCTGCATTTTACGTGCATAAGGATGCGTCGTTTATCATGATAAATAGGATGGCCGTGCTGGATCATCGGCTAGGACGAGCCTGCTGGACGAGCATATTGCTTCAGTAAATGAGCCGGTAGTCAGTGCTTATTCTATTTTACACCAAAATCAGACAAGGGCCAAATTATTAAACAAGTTTACAAGACTTGTGGAAAAGCCACTGGACTAAAGCCGCGCCGATCAGTGGACCATTTACTAAGAGTGCCTGTGCATCGAGCAGGAACCGTTCGTGCCGTTTCGGGCAACGCCATGCAGTCCAGATCAGAGAACACTTCTGAACAGCCCGGAAGCAGACGTCACCTCTTGACAAATCCTGAGGTAGCTGTCAGTAAGGAAGCTTGAGCCCTTGAATTTGGTAAAATGGCTTACGTTGGCAGCTTGCAAGTTACGTATTCCGTCGCGATCGCCCATCATACAACATATATTGACCAGCTTCGAAGTATCACCGAGTTCAATGTTGTTCACTATTTCCCAATGTGGTCCGAAATTACGGAGTAGGTAAACATTGCAGAGACGGATTACTCCAAAGCATCCCGCTATTGCGAGACCTCTCAGCTCATCGGTCTGTGTCATTTGCCCAGTGATCGACAGGAATAAGTACCGGGCTCACTATAGGAAACTTTTTTGGACTGCCACTAGCCGATACAGACAGCCAGCAAACAGTGCATACGCTGCGATGCTTGCTGAATGCTGAACTAAGGAATGGTGATAAAAAGACTCGAGACACTTACGGCAAAAAAGTATAGGAAGTGAATGAGGCAGGAGACAAAGATATGCGATTCTATCAGCATTTTGCAATAAACAAGTCATGCACTACATGCAGCTCATAGATCGGTCCAAAAAACGCGTTACAGAGTCACCAATAGCAATCTCGCTGGAAGAGGGTGACCTTCGACCCGCTGCTTAGCAAATTAATTTCGATCCGGTGCATACCCATACTCACTACTCAGGCAGTGGAGCGAGCCGTCCGGCTCCTAACTTAGGCAGCATACGCTGTTGTTATTAAGAGAGCACGTCTCAGTTACATCATGTGTGCCATCAGGACGCAATGCAGCGCTCTCATGCCGGCGTTTGAATCAATTATCGAAGTGTGATTTTCTGTCCTAGGACGGTAAGGTGGCTGGCTACATTGCATTCAAAAATGAACATACGGTTTGGACTGATGTTATCTGTCTGCAAAACTTAATTTAACTGATAAACATATATCAAAGTTAAGCATCTCGCTGTTTTCTTGGCGAAATCACTATAGGTATAGCTTCCGGAGCAACTTAGTATATGGATCGAATGGGTGCAACTCCCCTAGTGTCAAATAAGGAACACCAGACACCTAGGAACACCAAAGAACACCATATACCCGACGTGGCAGCGGCAATATACCCTGGCAGCGGCTGCGTCAGCTTTTAAAGGGACCCTCCCACCTTAACATTAGATTTGAGTTGAGATAGCCAAAATGGGGTCCCTGGGTCACAATTACCGGTTTCGGCACTCACAACATCGAGAAATGCCTTAAATCGGAAATATTGAATTTCAAAATTGCAGCATTTTGATTCAGAGGGGCTAATGCTTAGGAATACCCCTCTGAATGTGTGACGTCAGCGCTGATATCTAACGATTTTTAAATGTTTGACTAAAACGTTTGTAGCACGCGGTGGTATATGCTATTTGCGCGCAACATCTGCCGCAAATGCCGCACTTCTAAAATAAAGTCGCTAGAAACAGCGGAGATCCCAAAAAAGTAAACAAAAGTAAAAGTCTAATATCTTGAAAACCGGTGAATATTTTTCGGTGAAATTTGGTAGATATTCGTTTTCGCTCTTTCTGAACCGAGCGACATCACTTTCATGCCAATTCATAAACTTTTTTGAAGGTGGGAGGGTCCCTTTAACGGTCGGAAAGCCGTCAAAACCAATGTTATGCCAAACTCGCTCAATAGATGGCGCTGGTTTCGTTGCGCTCAGATCGCCGATGCTAATCGCTATTCTGAGCACGATTCTGCCACTGGGGTTTCCAAACTTTGTGAAGAGGTGGGGGTAAGCATGTAGAACTAGGAAAGTAGTAAATATAGTATCTTTCTCGATTTTTTCCTACTAAATTTTGCAAACAACGAGAAAAATTAGCAAAAGTGGTCTCGAAAAACCGTGTACGGCGCGCCCAGTTCCTTTTCAAAAATTCGCAAAAAATATGTTTTAACCGTTTTATGGATCAGCCCGTAGGAAAATCGCTCTTCACTTGAAAACTTTTTTCATCGACCCGCCCTACTGTCTCATCCAGTCTAAGAATAACAGCACTGACAGCATCCTGTCTTAGAATTCCAGTACTGCCTTATCCTTTCTGAGAGTCCCAGCTCTAGCTCATCCTGTCTAGGAATTCCCATACTTGCTTAACCTATAAAAGAACCTAAAAAAGCTACCCCAATGGACCATACAGCCTTTTTTCCATTGAGGATGAACCATAGGTAGTCAATTACATGACACAGTTTTTGTCCACAGCAAACAGCAAAATTAACTTGGTAATTATAGCTGAAGAAATGTGTTGCAATGGTACCTAAACAACAGACATTTGCACAGATCCCAGACAAACAATCACAAAAATCAGGATGGCCATAAGATTAATGATCTTCAAGCATGTAATTATAGAGGATAACATTGCTAAAGACAAGAGTCACATTCTTTCCTGTTCCTTTTATGTTCTTATTTTTAATCGGACGCCATTTAATTGCGTCCCAGAAAAGCTATTTCTGGCACCTAAAAGCTGACTCGCCCCAAAATTGGTCCTCAGCACCTATTTGGTGGATACCAGCACCAATCATGGAAAATGACCTTAATTAGCTGTTTCTGGCACCTATTCATCGGTACGCCTTACTCTTTTTTCTGAATCTGGCACCTAAATGCTGAGCGTAGCACCAATCTAGTAGAAAAATGAACTACTGGCTGGTAGAATCATGTTGTTCTGGTATAATGACCCCTGGAGTCTAGCCTAAAGGTTGCCAGTGCAGCTACACTCTAAGACAGCCCCGTAGTGATCTCAGCATTGTATATGACGTTTAAGTAAGCAAATAATATTGATTTGTTCGAAAAAAACAATGTCATTTTAATATTTAAAAGTATTTATTTGTAATGCTTAAAGGGAAACATTTTTGTGAGTAATTGTCTCGATTTTCACCATTAAAACGGGTATTGCATTTTTTGACGTCATCAAATAGCTCCAAAAAAGAAATGTAGGTAATGTTTTCATTCCGTTCAAGGCCGCTGAAGAAACGCGAGATCTTGCGTGGGACATTGTCCGTTGTTTGCCGCGCAGAGTTGTGCCGTGGTTGTGCCTTTTTCATCCGTTTCTTACTTATGTGTGCATGAAGCTTTGATTTTGTTTTTGGTTATTGTGTGGCCTGTCAGTCAAACGCCCCTGTAGAAACCGGATGCTGCGTTTGATCGAGATGGAGTCAGACGATGATTGCAGAAAGCTATTGAAAAGAGGGCCGGTTGCGTGGCATGTCTGTTCAGAGTTGACATTTTGCTTTACTCCAGTTTATGACCTGAGAGCCTGGCTGGAAGTGACGGATCCAAACTTTTCACGTTAAAATGGCTGAGGGTGCAATAATCTCTACATAGCGGGCTGGTATAGGAGCGTCTTGCTATGCTGCACCATAGGTGGCTAGTGATTCTCTTTTGGCTAGAAATGGCATTAATCATTATCTCCACTGGCGAAAATGGCACTTGACATCACCGAATGCAACGTTCATGTTTGTTAGGATACATAAAATCAGGAAGATTACGCGAATTAGGTAGGCAAACGTGGAATAAAATAGGTACTGGATGTTTTGGTTTTGGTGCTGAATCAGCAAACAGCAAATACGGAGTTCAACTAGACGATCTGGCAACTTAAGGCTGTGTGGAAGCAATTAGGTGCCAGATTCAGATATTAGGGTCGAGTAAGCATTTTGGGGCTGATCAGCAATTAGGTCCCAGAAACAGCTTTTTAGGGACCAGAAACAAATATTCCCCTTTTTAATCTAGGCAGATTTATAATGGTAGCAAGAGATAATGGTCTGAGTGGCATGTGACTACAGTATCAGCATTTCTTTGTTTGTGATCCAAATATGGTAGGAAGCAGGCAGCAACAAAACAAAAAACAAAAATTTTAGCATAAGAATATAACAGAAACCACACTCTTGAATATTGCAGCATAGGTATCACAGCAACTAATTTGGCAGAATAGCTATGCCTTCAAGGATGAAATTCAACCAAATAGATTCATGCTACCTATGCCATACTAAAAACGCAAAAATCTAGATTGAGATAAGAATAGTGTAAAATGCATATCAAGAGAGAAGAATAAGATAGACCAAAAAATGCAAAGTTACTTGCCTCTACTTGTTTAAAACAAAGTGAAATCTGCATCAACTCGCGCACCCCACCAATATATGAAATTGAAAAGAAACCATGCACTCCTAGCGCCGCCAGGAGCAATTTGTGCGACTTGGCGCGTATCAAAGAGGGAAATGAATGGTAAACAATGCGCGCCTCGCTGATTTTCACATATGAAACTACTGCGTCGTTATTGTAGAATTAAATTTTATCAGTCGAAGGAATTCCACCAACATAAGAAAATAAGATTCATGCAACATTTTTCCAGTTCTATTCATTCATTATCTTTTTGCATTAAAGCGATTTTTCATCTAAATGAAAAATAATTACACATTTCAAAATAAAATATTTCAAATAAGTCTTCAAGCATGTAACCATCGGGCGAGCTTTGAAGTTTTCTTAGCGCTTTTACGAAGGATTTCTCTAAAAGGTGATATGGTAGCTAGAAAAGTGACGGAAGTTGGGAGGAAACTCGCAGTGCGCTGCTCCAACGCTGTTGCTGGGGCCGGGCGGCGACCAATAATATGCCGTTTCAGAATCGTTTCGTCGGTTGGGTTCGGTACTTTTCAGGTGAGGTGGCATTCTATGTACCGTTTTATTGATGTAGCAGTGGTTTTATTGGTCTTTTTTATATTTTTCGTAACTGCCATTGAACTCCACACACGAAACTTATGATTTTCTGTGCCAGAATTACACAAGAACGGTGTGAAACTGGTGTACACTGCTAGACCGGTTTGTGAAGCTATGGCGGCCATGTTGGATTAAATGCTCTGGAATTTACTGGGCTAAATGTGGTCAAGAAAATCAGTAGTTTTGCTGTGAATCCTTCTAAAATGTTGTGCTGCACTAGAATAAATGAAAATTATTGATTTATTGTTAAATATCTTGTGTCTTTTCCTGCTGATGGCTACCAGGGCCAATGTCAGTCGGTGACACACCAGGGAAATAAGCTAAAATTAGAGCGCTCTATTTATTGCTCCCGCTACTTCACCGTCTCCCATAGGGTCCTGTGTTGAGCTGGTGTCGAGGCTCTAAAAATGACGCCGATTTTTGCACCCTTCTCACGAAAACCGCTCGGACCGCCTGGAAACTAATTGTTCCGCTCTAAAAATTTCATGATCGACGGGAAAATGAATGAGGAAAAGATTGGTCCTGAAATAATTCTGAACTCCCTGTAGGACATATCGAAATATGGCTGCAAACTAGGAGCATGTCAAAATCGACAAAACAATACAAATAAACTTACCGGGATTTTTTTATTTTCCATGCATCTGTGTATGAAATCAGTCGGTTTTTCGGAAAGATCATCTTCTGTAATAAATAATCCCACAATTGCAATCGAGAAAAAAAAACAATTCCGCTGTGACAGCAGTTTTGGCATTGTGCCAGTAGTGTGGCGTGCGCGGTGCTGCGTGGTCATCGGGACGGGGTTGTGAGTATTTTCGGTGTTTTAAATGGTTGATGGCCATTTGAACCAGCTTTATATTATTTCCTACAAATTTTTGCATCAAATTATTGCTTTGAAAGACCATTGAAACCCCTTATCTCTTCATGAAACACGATCATATTCATCGTCGACGAAAATGGCGCGGGACTCCATGTGCATTCCGATCGAAATAAATCGTAAATTAAATAATATTCGATGATAAGTATCATATTCTAGTGACACATTTTCATAAAATAAGGCATAAACTTTGCAAGGAAGTCAACATTGGATAATTCGATTCTTATTTTGCTCACATATCCTTGTAATAGTCAAATGGCTCAATTGTTAGATAGATGTAAGTAAATGTTTTGGCTTGATGTTTGCTGTGAAACCACCCAGCCACTTGCTGGTTGAGGGTTTTCTGATAATTACCTGATAATCATTTCTCCTTTTCCTTAAAAGAAACTAAAATTCCTTTCAAAGTAATCCATTTTTAGGAAAGGCGGCTTGCTCATTGACATTTCATGTTCTTGTTTTGTTATTGCTGGCAGTATTTTGATACAATAATGCAATATGAATTTTTCGCAATAATAATACCTAAGACAAACTTAGTTAATGTGTCAATCAAACACCCAACAGAAAGATTGTGAGTCCTGGTGACGTGAAGTAGAATATTCTATTAATGTGTTATATAGAATATGCTAATTATTATTTGATACTGATAGCTGAGCATGTGAATTATGCCACAATATAATTTCATTTTCTGGTTTTCAAATAGCCGGCAGTATTTTACTTCAACAAATGTAATATACATGGAATACATGTTGTTATGTTATGTTAAAAGTTAAATAACAGCCAACAGAAGGGGCTGTTTCAGCAGATAATGTTTGTACCTTATGCATTACCTTTCTTTTCTGCAGGACCATGCTTCCGCTGGGTGGTCGACATTTGCCTCCTGATGAAGTTGAGCAACATGAAGACCACCAGATGAGGTGTCTGCAGTTCATGTGGAACTCTGCAGACTACAAGTTATGCCAACCACAACCAAAGTGCTGTGATCATGGAGGCATGAACCTCATGACAACACTTCAGATTTGCAGTTGAACCAAAGTGTGATTCAAACCACCTGTGGCATCTCACTCAATGTGTGAACAACTGAACAGTGTGATTATTGTGCAGTGTTCAGCTGCAATTAAGACATTTGTTAGTGACTTGTTTTGCAATTAGCCACCAAAAGCATTTTTGGGCTGGCTGCTGTAATTTGTTGTGCACTGCGCAGTAGTGGTAGTGTTTTGTCACTTGTCAAGTTGTCAGTTGTGCATGTTGCATGTTTCTCTTCCCTCGGCCTTCATTATCAGTTAAGTGGTGAATTGGCATCACTCAGTCTCCCCAGATCTCCATTGACTGTCTGTCAACCACCTAACTTGAGATGGTATTTGCCAATAGTGTCAGAAAAGAAGTGATTGTAGACATTTTTAGGAATATGAGCTCCATTTCATGCGTGTTCCAGTGGTCATTTTGTCACATGTCCCATAGTGTAATAAATGGAAACTGTTGTTCCCTTTTGAAGGTACTCGCGGATGCAGAAAGCGTTGGGCCTAATTATTAAACGCACCCTCCTATCAGCGACGCACGAAATCGACAAAAATCATCCTTTTTAGAACAGGAGGAAACGAAAACTTGTGAACATAGCTGTACCTACAACAGTGCATAAGGAATTGAAACTCTGGGAGTTTTTGAAATTCGGAGAAACTCAAGTTGTCGACAGGTATGCCCCCTTACACGTCAAAGACCGCCTAAAAAACAAACGTCTACAAATGAAGGCAGTATTCGTATGTTCGTTGTAATTGCAGCAGCCTAGCAACATGCATTGCGGTCCGATGGCGAATTACACTCGTGCTCAAAAACTATGCCGGTAACTGCCAATGCACTTAGGTCATAGGTGAGGAGAGGAAGGGTTATTTATGTCATATGTCAACATCATAGAAATGGCTTCATCTGAGCTGTGCCTATTGTACATAATTCAACCAATCTATGCATTTCGTTTCTTGCAATCTACTCATGCTTTCACTCCAGCTTCCGAGTAATCATCCAATATTGTACGTCTTAAGATATTGATTTCTATGGCGGTTTGCAATTGCTAGCCACGTCTCACCTCAGTTTGGTGGCCCCGCATCGGCCCACTCGGCCGCTCTAAAATTGACTTACGGAGGAGGATGGTGGCTTTTATTTTAGCTTCTCCGCTGACTGCGGGGAGCGCCGTCGCCGAGGTAGGAGCAATAATTAGCTTATGTCTGGGACTAATTTCCACGCTTAACTAACATTTTAATGTTATTTTAATTAATTCATGTTAATCTTTGACGCATTCTCTTTCTATTGATACCATCCACCGGTCTGAGAATTACTGCCTTGCTGCGTAAGGGCCGATAAAAGATCACGCTTTTAGGGGTATCTCTTCAACATGGGGCAGGAGCAATAAATAAAGCGCTCTAATTTTAGCTTATTTCCCTGGTATGTCACCAACTGATGTTAAGTTTTTCGGCACATGTCGGTCTGGAAAGCTACTGTTAGTAAAGCATCGCTGTCTGAAAAATGAATGGACTTATTATGGGTACTTTTAACATCAAAGTTTGGGATCCATCAGGTGTAAAGTGACTCAGCTCAACATTTTGTAGAAGTAGTCTACTATCATAAAAAATAAGATTGTTTTATGATTGTAATCTGTGACTGTAATCTGTGATTGGTGTAGTCTTTGATAATTACTTAACATTCATTATGTAAAGATAAGCTGAAGTACCTGGTTCAATTATTTTTCATCAAAGTCATGGGTCATGATAATGAAGTTATAATCCTCTTTCTACATTTTTTTTTGTCATGTTATTGATTTTTCATGATATATTTATTGAATAATGAATCATGATTGCAAAATTAAGTTATTATGATATCAAGGGCTTCATTTTTGATAGAAGCTTAAGAAAGGACATGCAACCTGTTGAATTATGCTACCTAAGTGGGAGAACATGTTAGTTGTAAATAATGCCTGTTGTTTTGATATCTAAAATGATACATTACCTCATGAAGTTGATGGTGTTTGTTTGAACTGATTTGGGCATTGCTTTGCCCTTTTTATGACTTAAAGCTTAGCACTAATTATGTCTGTTTCCTGTTTTGCATTGCACTTTTTTACATGTGCCACATACATACTCATATCTGGATTTCAAAATATTGCATATTTGAAATGTTTTTGGTCTGAAACATTGTAGGTTATTCTCTAGAGAATGAATTGCAATTCAGCTTCATGTCAGTTGCAAATTAATTTTGCAACTTATCAAATCTATCCTCTGAATAGATTCAGGATGGCAGAGAACAAGCATTGACATTCATTTATGGAACATGGCCTTCCTGTTCACCTTTACTGCATTGGTACAGGAAAATATAGCTTCTTTGACCCCTCTATTCTTTGCTTTTTGACCATGCCAACTGCCAATATTTTCATATTTAAATATGGTGTGTACAATTATGAAAAGTCTACTTCTTTTGGCTTTTAGAATAGTTATGTTTTGTCTAGTTGGTTGATGCAACCAATGACATTGGTAACTTACTCTTAAAAGGTAAAAGCAGTTGTACATCGTTCAGGACTTCCTTATACATAAATACCCTTCTCTCATCTGTATTTACTTTGATGGTTATTTCTTGTCATTAGAATTGAACTTGTAGTCTTCAGTTGGGCTGCATACAAGGACTCGACATTATGTGACAAATCTGAAGCCTCAATTATTTGCTAATAATACTGCTGTCTATAAAAAGACAACATGCTTTGTCCTCACCAGCTTGTGAAGTGGTATGGTAGCTTTCCTGATATATTTTCTATTGTTTTCAGGCAGGGGCAGTCCAATACACAACACATTAGTAGTGTGGGCGCCATGGCTCACGACGAGCCAGTGGGCCAGATGGCTGCCCGACCAGGGGTGAGCTCCCCTTCCTCTGGCTCCTGGAACCGCTGGCCGCCACCTGCTGCCACGTCGTCGCACAACCAGTTCTTCAGCGTCGTCAAGAAGGCTCGACCGACGGCGTCCGTCGGCGCAGTCGCCGCTGTCGGAAAGCCCGGGCTGGCGCCGCTCGGCAAGACGGGACAGTTACAGGTCGGAAAGACAGGACCAGCACAGGTCAGCAAGGCAGGACCAATGCAGGTCGGTAAGCCGAGAATAGCGTCGTCCGGCTCCCCCGCCGGGACGCCGGGTCTGAAGCCGGCGTCTCGCCCCGGGCCGTCTAAAGCGCCGGTGTCGCTGCTGAAGGCCGGACCCCTGCGCATGGGCCTGGTTTCGCCGTCGGTCAGCAAGGCGGGACCACAGAGGCCCAGTCCGTCCGGCGCCACCGGTCTGCCCAAGACGAGCCTCGCCGCTCCTCTGAAGAAGTTCGCCGCTCCTGCCAAGCTGGGGCTGCCGCGGCCCGGTCCGCCGGACAGTGTGAGCCCGAGGGGTCAGTATGCGCCGGTCGCCGGGGCCCGGCACCGCGCGCCCTCCGGGGGCGCCTCGCGCGCCGCGCCGGACCTGTTCCGGCCGAAGCCGTCGGCGTCGGCTCCGAAGCCGCGCATGTCATGGGACCTGGACCTGCTGACGGACGGGTCGCCGGAGGACGAGGGACACTTCGCCACGGACCTGGAGCAATCGCCCACGTTCCTCACCAGCGACCAGCCATCGCGGCCGAGCAGACCGCCGGCGGTCACCGGTCAGCTCAGGACCATGGGACCGATCCATGACAAGGTGCGTAACATGCAGCCGAAGAGGCCCCGCGGCAGACCTCCGAAGGCGCCTGGTGAGCAGAGCGTGCCGCGCAAGTACGTGAAGAAAGCGCACGCAGCCAACGGCGCCGGCGGCCACGCGGAGAACGCCAGTATCCTTCACTCCAAGCCGAAGTGGAAGGGCGCCACCGACGTGCTCCACAACGACTTCAGCACGCTGAAGGAGAAGCAGCGCCGGCGGAAGGAGAAGCTGGTGGCGGTGCGGCTGGACGGTAGCGTGCCGCAGAAAGTGACACTGCTGCCGCGGGACCCGGACGAACCGTACGACTCCGACTCAACCGCGTCCCCGGTCAAGGACGCGCCGCGGCCGGGCCTCGCCTCGCCGCCCAGGAGGTCATCCGGTGCCAGCGAGCACGCGCACGGCAAACCCGAAACGAAACCACTGTTTGAGCACATTGACGAGGACTGGGCTGTGATCAAAAAGTCGCTGGAGAATACTGAGGCGAAGCGGGAGAGAAGGGTGAGCGAGGCTGGATCGTCGCTGAAAGGGACGCTCACGCCGTCTCCGACTAAGAAAAGTGACCGCTCCGATGAGTTGTCAACTGATGAAGATATTGGCAACAACCTGAATGCTCCGCTTCATAATTTAGAACGGCTTCAGGATCAAATGATCAAAAGTTTGATGGACGAGGGTGCCCTCGCTGCCCTGAAAAAGAAGCATAGAAAACAGAAAGAAGTCCACATGTTCAAAAAGAAGAAGATGAGCGACTACTGGAAGAGCAAGCTGGCTTCTGGGAAATCCTCACTTCAGATGAAAATGAAACGTCCGTACAACGTGCGTCCGCTGACCTCGGATAACGTACGGCACATGGAGGAGGCGATCGCGGCCGTGCTGGCCGCGCCCAGTCCGGAGGCGTCGCCGCAGAAACGGCCGCCCGTCGGGTCACCGTCCAAACTGAAGCCGCCCGCTGACTGGCCGCCGGCCGGCGGTGCCTCCGTCTCGCCGCAGAGCCGACCCAAAGTGCAGCTGATGCTACACTCGCTGCCGCCGCCGCCACCCGCTCTGTCACCCTCTCAGTCGGACGCGCGCCCGAGCCCGCCCGGCCAGCCGGCGCCGCAGCCGTCCGCTCCCCCGCCGCCGCCGCCGGCGGCCGGACCCCCGCCTCCCTCTGCGGCGGGTGAGACGCCGGATGCCGGCGGCCCGGAGCGCCCAGAGGCTGAGTCTGACCCAGCGGCCGTGGAGCGGCTGCAGAAGGTCAAACGGGAGCTGTCGGCTCGCTTCCTCAGTGACCTGCACGAGCAGCGCGTGCAGCTGCAGGCGGCCGAGCAGCAGCGGATCATGTGGTGTCAGCAGCAGGAGCAGCAGCGGGCCGCCGCCGTCGCGGCAGCTCAGCAGCAGCAGCAGGGGCAGCTCGGCTGGCGGCCGATCATTCGCGTCCGGCGGCGGCGGCGGCGCGTCGGCCAGCCGCGTGTTGTTCGTCTGACGGAGGCGGCGTTCCAAGCGGGCAGCACCGTGACGGACGCCGACATCGGCGGCGCTGACGGCGACGACGGCCTGGCGCCGCTGCCGGAGCCGGAGACGCCGCTGCCGGTCTCCATGTCGGCCACCAAGCTGAAGGAGTTCCTGGACTCTGCGCGCGTGTCGCGCTACCGGCGCACGTGTGGCTCAGGCCTGCTGGCCGCCGTTCAGATGCCGGTGGAGACGGCCGAGCGGATGGTGTTCGTCTCCGAGACGCCGCTGCCACCGGGCGTAGATCAGACTCTGGTGCCGAACGGACAGGCGCCTGGCGGTCCCGGTGTGTCCGCAGTGCCGGGCGCCGGGTGGCCGGTGGAACAGGTGGACCCGGCGCGGGGCGGCGCCGCCTGGATGGCCGGCCCGCCGGCGTCCGGACTGGACTGGTACGGTGCGCCGGCCGGCACTCCGGGCTGGAGCGGCGCCATCACATCGCCGGCCGCCACCACCACCGGCTGGTTCGGCGGCGTGGTGTCGCCGGCGCCGGGCGCCGCCTGGACGGGTCTGCCGACCGACGGCAGCGTGCCGGCCACTGCGCTGTTCATCACCCCGCTCACCGTCCCGGGAGCATCGCCAGCACCAGTGCTGGTGTCTGTGGCGCCACCATCGGCACCAACTATACCATCGATGGCACCTCCACCGCCAGCACCAGCGACACCTGCACCAGTGACGGCGCCGCCGGCGACAGCGGCGCCGTCCGCCGCTGCGGATGACGCTTCTGACGTCAGCATGGAGGAAAAGCCGCTGAGGATCGCGCTGCCGCCGACCCCGTCGGCCGGGCAGGCGGCCACGCCGGCCGGCTCGGCCCCGCGGACGCCGCTGAGCGTGTCGCCGCCTTCGGCCGCGCCGTCGGAGGCGGACCGTCCTCAGTCGGGCGGCAGGTCCGTACCGGGCACACCGGGCGGCGACTCCCCGCGGCCGGCCGCCGCCAGCGTCCAGCCGTCCCCGCCGCCGCCGCCGCCGCCGGTCGACCCCGCGACACTGCCGTTCGCGTGTAACCGGTGTCCGGCGCGACTGGCGACCCTCTCGGAGCAGGTGTACCACGAGATCCGGCTGCACATGACCGAGGAGTACCTGTTCCGCTGCATGGGCTGTCCGATGCGGGTGGCGCTCGTCGACGACCCGACCAAGATCCTGGACGGCCTGCTGGACCACTATATGAAACACGTGGACGGCGCCGGCCGCCTACTCCCCTACGACTCGTCGACCGACTTTTTCCGCTGCGAGTTCTGCCCGAGGGTGTTCGAGGATCCGAGCGCGTACGGCTCGCACGAGGTGCAGTGCCGGTCGCTGACGCACACGTGCGCTAGGTGTCAGGCCCGCTTCGAGACGGGCGACCAACTGAAATGGCACGAGGTTGACCATCTGCGCGCGCCGGACGGCAAGTACTGCTGCGACCACTGCGACTCCAAGTTCACCAAGCGCGAGCAGCTGCTCGGACACCGGCGCTTCCACTTCAAAGACAAGAACGTTGAGTGTCCAAAGTGCGGCAAGAAGTTCATGACCACAGGCATGCTGGCCATGCACAACAAATGGAAACACTCGCAGGGTCCGTGCCGCTTCTGCGGACGTCCGTTCACCTCGGCGACGGCGCGCCAGGCGCACGAGGAGCACATGCACCTAAAGTACATGCTGCACATGTGCGACGTGTGCCACTTCCGCGTCATGACGGCCACCCAGCTGCGCGTGCACAAGCGCACCCACTCGGATGACAAGCCGCACCGCTGCGCCGCCTGCGACGAGGCGTTCGTCTCCCGGAACCTGCTCAAAAAGCACCGGGCGTCGCGCCACTCCGAGCCCCGTGCGGCGGCGGAGGGGGCCGCTCCGGCGCCGGCGGCCGCTGAGCCCGAGCCGGCGCCGGCGCCGTTGGAGCCGGCTGCCTCTCAGGGCGGCGGGGAGAGTGCGCGCGCCCCGGACGGCACACTGACGCCCGCCGAGCTGCGCCAGCTGTTCGAGCGGTACAAGGCCACCTGGTCGGGCCCCAAGGACGAGATGACGCTCTCGGACCTGGACACGGACGAGGACGAGGACGAGAAGCGTGACCTGATCGACATGCAGGCCAAGGAGGAGCTCTTCAAGACCAAGGACAAAAACTCCTTGTCGGTGTGGAGCTGTCCCGTGTGCAACGCCTACTTCACCAAACTGTGGGGCGTGCGCGCGCACATCACGCTCAAACACCCGGGCTCCAGCATGCGGCCCGTGCTGCACGATGACAAAGACACTAGCGCCTCCAGCAAGCAGGACTTCCTCAAGGAGATCAAGCGGAACGCCAAGACGGCCAAGCGGGAGCTGAAAATGGAGGCCAAGCGGCAGGCGCGCATCGCGGCCTACGGGGATGAGCTGCCGCGCCGCGGCCGGCCCAGGAAGTACCCCGTCAAAATACGGCCACCGATCGACCCTTCACAACCGCGGAAACGCGGCCGTCCGCGCAAAAACCCGGACGACCCGACGGCCCCGCCGCCGCTGGCCGAGGACGGGGCGGCTCCGCCTCCCCCGGCGCCGCCCAAACCGGAGCCCAAACCGGAGCCGCCGCCCGATCATGTGGAGCGGCGCCGGTGGAAGTGTCTGACCTGCCAGGACCAGTCGCAGTCGTACGACGACCTGGTGACGCACACCTACCTGGCACACCCGGACGCCGACCTGCCGCGATTCGAGGTGGTCGTCACCTACGTGCCCAAGCCGGTGCCCAAGACGCCCGCGGAGCCGGCGACACCGCCGCCCGCGGCCGACGCCGCCTCAGAGTCGGATGCTCAGGAGAAGCACGACGCCGACATACTGGACTCGGCGCGCGTCAGAGGGGCCGAGAAACGGCGCGCGCCCAGCGCCACCAAGGTGCCGGCCGGCGCCAAACGGCGCAGCATACCGTCAGCGACAAAAGAGGGTGCCACGCGCGGCCGGGGTCGTGGCCGGGGCGGCCCCAGTCCCAGCGGCAGGGGCGGTGGTCGAAGCGGCCACAGTGTCAGCGGGCGGGGCGGCGGGCGGAGCGGCGGCACCCCGGGCCGGGCTGGCGCCGGCGGCGGCGACTCGTACCGCAAGTCCTACTCCAACTCGTCCCGTCGGTTCAAGGCCGAGGACGCGAAGGAGCCGGCGGCGGCGGCGGATGACGCCGACAAGCTCTACTGCTACTGCCAGTCGCCCTACGACGAGGTGAGCGAAATGATCGGCTGTGACAATGACGACTGCAAACACGAGTGGTTCCACTTCGAGTGCGTGGGCATTGTGATTGCTCCAAAAGGTAAATGGTTCTGTCCGGACTGCACGGCTAAACAAAAGGCAAACAAATGATTTACCAGGCTTTACTGTGAGTGTTTGAGAATTTTGTTATTTGCTTGTATAGATGTAAAAATGTAGGTGCCGCCGATATGGTTGTTTTGATCGCTCCCGTAGGCCATCAGTGTTACACATTAACAATGCCCCTGTGAACCGTGTCGTTTTGTTGCCGGTATTAGATTGACGTGGAATCCGCGGGATGCATGCGAATATGTGGACCCGGTTCGATATACAAAATAAATGTAATTTCACATAAGATATGGTTTACAGTAGTCTAGTAGTCAGGATTAGCTTCTGGTATAGTTATATGAATGTTTGCTGTTTTTCTCCATACTTATAGTTGGGCCCAGTCAAAGGCGGGTCAGCTAATTATATCATCATTTTTATTTCAACTTCCAAATTCATAACATGACAACAATAACTCGGACCAGCTCACACTAGGTCCGCTTCACTGTGTGGACAACACACCCGGTCACCCACGCGCAGTTGACCGCCGGTCTTGTGCGACTCACAAGTACCTGAATCACAGCTTATTACCGGGACGGAGACCCGATGGCACTCGATCGTCCGGCGTGATACGTATCGCCTCTTCCTCCTCTCTCCCTGTCCCCCTCTGGAGGATGTTACGGTCGTCGAATTATGCCTGTCCTACAACACACTGCGGGATTTTCTTTCTGGAGACGACGTACTCGCTGGTGACGGAGCGCGGCTCCTGCAGCTTGCAGACTTGTCCGGCCGGACAGTCGAGCTCGCACTCCACACACACGGCCCGGTCCGCCTGCACCCGGCAGAACAGCTCGGGCGCGCACTCGGCCGCCGCGCACGACGCCACGCACGTGGGCGTGCCGGAGAGCACGGCGCACCGCTGGCCCGAGCGGCACCGGACGCCGTCGCAGGTGGCCGGTTTGACGCAGATCGGCTCGCCGTTGACGGGCACGCACTGGAGACCCTGCTCGCAGCCGCCGGCGTTTGTGCAGGGCGCGCCGCGCAGCGACACGCAGCGAGCCAGGTTGTCGCGCACCTCACACCGCTGGTCGTCCCGGCAGTGCGCGTTGGCGCACGTCGTGGCTGTGATGCACTTGGCCGAGCCGAAGTACTCTCGGCACACCTTGCCGGGGCCGCAGCGGAGCTCCTCGCAGGTGGGCGCGTCCACGCAGAGGTGCTCGTCGTTGACCACGCGGCACTCCTGGCTGGGCGGGCAGCGCCGGTCGTAGCAGGCGGGCGCCGCCAGACAGGAGGGCGCGCCTCCGACGCTGATGCAGCGCTCGTTGGGCCCGCAGTTGAGGTCCTCGCAGCGGGGCGCCACCACGCAGCGCGGCAGCCGGCCGATTAGCTGGCACACCTTGCCGTCGGCGCAGGAGACGCCGTCGCACGAGCGGCGGATCTGACAGCGCGGCAGGCCGCGCCGTGCGTCACAGAACTGGTCGTACCGGCAGCGCAGGTTGGCGCAGGTGCGGCGGCGCGTGCACCACGCCCGGCCGCCGGCCATCACGCACTTCTGGTCCTCTGTGCACCGGGCCTCATTACACGAGCTGGCTGCGCTGGGCCGGGCAAACGCGGCCGGCCGCGGTGTGGGCGGCGGGCGGCAGACTGGCACTCCGCCCATGATCACACACCGCGCCCCGTCCTTACAGGTCAGGTCCTTACAGGTCAGCTTCCTGCAGGTGGGCAGGCTGTTTTGGAGGACGCACCGCCGGCCGGCCACACAGCGCGTCTCGGCGCAGGAGCGTGTCCCGATCGACCTCCGGGCCGGCGGGATCTTGTTGGCTTCGTCATCGAACAGCGACGAGTCGGATGCTGGAGTCGACTCAGATTCAGACGACCGCAGCGACTCGGGAGTCAGGACTAGGATGTCAGCGAAAGACTCTGGAGCCACCTCGAGCTCAGGGGCAGGGAGGGGCTCAGCGGGCGCCGCCGATTTGCTGATCTGCTCTGATACCGAGTTCGGCGCAGAATTACTAGGGGTTTCCGTTTCAGCAGAATAGACTTCCTCTGGAGCCTTGGGCTCCGCTAGCGAATTTCCTTGTATATTAGGAGCAACTGCAGAAAATAGATTCAAGTTTTCAACCTCTGAATCAGGGCTCTTGTTAGCATCATAGGTCTGTTCCGGTTCAGAGCTAATTTCGGGTGTCGTGAGTGGCTCTAGACTGTCATTTTCTACTGTTGATACGAATGTTTTACCATCATTCGTCTGCTCCAGCGAGCCGGCCGAGCCGGAGATGGCCGATAGAGCAGTGTCGTCCTCCGTCTCATCCAGCAGAACCGTTTGTATTTCGCCGAGAGGAACCTTCGTATTTTCGTCTCGGTCAGTGTCGGTTGTTTGAACGGCGGGCTGAATTGCTGGGCTAGGTGTCGCCTCAACCACATTCAAAAGCTGTTCCAGCAAACCATCCTTCTCTTCTGGGCTCGTTTTCTTTTCCCCTGCCTCCTCCGCTGTTGGTTCGTAAACGGTGATAGTGGGCAGGTCATCCACTGCTTCTGCACTGCTTGTCACCTGAATGTTCTGAATCGGCGCTTCCCCGCCTCCTCTCCGACTTCCCACATCGGCCTGGGCTTTCTCCGTCTCTATCCTAACCGCGGTCTCACCGTCCACCTCCACTACTCTCCCTTCATCCGTTCCTCTGCCCGTCTCCGGCCCGCACTCGAAGATGGTCTGGCACGGCGGCAGGTAGCCCTGCAGGGAGTGGTCGCACAGCTCTCTCTGAGCGCACCGCTCTCCGGGCGGACAGCGCAGCTCGTCACAGGAGAGCGTCCGGTGACAGACGGCGCGCTGCAGCGGCGGCCGGAACTGGGCGGCGCGCGGCGCCGGGTCGACCTCCAGTCGGCAGTGGTGGCCGCGCTGGCACTGGTGACCCGCGCAGGTCACCGACGGCACGCACTCGGCCCGGTCCCGGCAGGGAGGCAGGTAGCTCCCCGACAGACCGGTGTCGCTGTCACAGGTGTGTCGCAGCCGGCACTCGTGGCCGGTGGAACAGCTCAGACGGGAACAGTCTGCGGACGGAGCCAGGGGTCGGCAGGGGTCACAAACATAGATAGGCCAGCAGGGGTCACAAACACATAGATAGGTCAGCAGGGGTCACTGGTCACGGAGCCGGGGGTCAGCAGTGGGCACTCAGTAGGGGTCTCGGAGCGGGGTCAGAAGGGTTCACGGAGCCGAGCTCAGCAGTGTTACGGAGCCGGGACCAGAGATGGACACTGGACAGTGAACGCTCGGCTGAAGTGCAAGGCCAACTGGACTCGAAACGCTCCGGTTGTGTCGCGAAATCGCCTCGGTTCTGAGCAAAAAGTCGCTACGGAGTCGTTTTATGGCGTTTGATGGAAATTATTTTTTGGGGATTTTTGCCAGGGACAAGTTAGTGTCGCGTGTTTACCTGAGCAGTAGGCAGTAGGTACTGCTGATCACTGATCAGTACATGCCTATCTATCAAGACAAACAGAAGCTAATTCTCAATAGTAATTCAGTTTATCTTTAGATCCTGGTGGAGTCTAACAAAGACGAGAAGTGTGATAGTAATCATTCTGGTGCTGACTGGAATTCGTGACCGCGGAAATGCGATAGGATCGCAACTCGCTGCCGGTAATGACTCGAGCTTCTCGGCCGTATACAGGATTTCTTATGTTGTAGTAACTTCAATCACTAATTAATTGATGATTGACCACGAGCTGCGATCCTGCGCTACCTTCCTATGAGCTAGCTGAGCTGGAGGCTGACGGTGCCGCTTGTGGAAAGTTGCAGTATACACTATATAGTGCTACTGTTTGAGTCAGTTTCAGTATCCAACGCTACCGTCTTATGAATCAGTTGCAGTCTCCTACGCTACCGTCTTGTGAGTTAGTTGCAGTCTTCGCAGTTACTTTCTTATGACAGCTAGAATCTCCAATGTTACCGTCTTATGACTAGTTGCAGTCCCCTATGCGTTACCGTCTGATGTCTAGCTGCAGTCTAGTCTCCTACTTTACCGTCCTACAACTAATTGGGGTCTTCCACGTTACCGTTCTATGACTAGTTGCAGTCTCCTTCGTTACCGTCTTATGACTAGTAGTGGCAGTCTCCCACGATACTGTCTTGTAAAATAGTTGTAGTCTCCTGCGCCATCTTCCTGTGAGCTGGCTGGAATCTCCTACTGTAGCGTCTTATGATATGTTGTAGTTTCCAGTGTTACTGTTTCTTTCGTATGAGCCAGTTGCAGTCTCCAGTGTTACGATACCTTCTTGTGAGCTAGTTGCAGTCTTCTAGGCTACCGTCTTCGGCTTCCACTTCCGTTTAAAACCTCAAGGGTGGTGGTACCACCCCCTCGATCCCTGACTGAGGGACCTCGCCATTTCGTCCCCTCGCGAAAAATGAACGTTAGCGCCATTACGAGACGCAGCGACTGGTTTCCGGTTCTAAGGTTTCAAGCCAACTGGTGAATTCTGAAGTCAAGCGGAACATGTCCCAGGGTAGTGAGGATCTTTGGTAGGCATGTAGGAAACCTATAGGTAGGTCCAGCGAGTGTTAACTTCGTCCTGAATGTGTCCATATGCATGTTTTTGCACTTTCCTGTCTAGGTAAAAAACGTCTACATTTTAAGTAGGCCTACTATCAAAAGCGTCCAGCCACTTTTACCGATTACCGATAATGAGCGACTTTATTTTTTTTTTTGTATTTTGTGCTCTATTATCTCCTCAGAACAGCTCGTTTTTAGTTCTTATTCGGATCCTGATTGACTCACCTCCTGGGCTGGAACTCTGTGTGGAGGCGAACTGAGCCACCGCCAGCAGTGGCACACACATCCACAACATAGCTCCCATGACGACGGCGCGAGCGACACTACCCCCTGAGCCAGATCAGCCCCCATTTATAACGGCGCCCCCCCCCCCCGCACCGGTGACCGCGGGGGGGGGGGGGGGCTCATGGCGCCTCACGGCCACTGAGCCGCCGCCGCTCAGTCCTCCCGGGCGCGGAATCAGCACCACAGTAAGTCACGTGAGAACAGACGTGGCACGGCTGTGATCACGTGGACAGTCGCAAATATCCCGTAATCTGAAACATTGCGTAATTTTATGATCGCGATGGTTGGATGTTTATATGCATGCAGAATAAGATTTTGTGTGATGTACATATGTACTATGCCTACTTTAATTTATACTTGGTATATGTAGCATTAGGCTTAGAAGCAGCAAAAAGATCATGCATCAGTCTTGAAAGTTGAAACGGTCATGATCGAGAAACTTTAAAAAGAGGACCCTTTCACGGTGCGGTACGTTTTGACATCTCCTCGCCCGTGACCCGTCCGACCTTCCCGGACCCGGTGCGGGTTGCAATCCATCCATCGTCACCTGTCCCGATTGCGTCCTACTGGCGTGACAGACCCGGCTCCGCGGCGGGCTGTGGGTGGGTGACAGGCCGATCCAGCGTGCCACTGGACGGGCTGTGATCTCCCGCGAACATGCATGATCTCCGGGAGGGTACCGAGCCCCCGTTTCTCCGTTACGCCACCAGTGACACTGCCGTGTAGCGCCTTCCTTAGGCGGTTAGACCACGGTGCAGGCGTGGGGATAATCCTGAAGAGGCGGAGGGATGTAGCCTCAGACGGACAGCCGCAGATAGGGGGTGCAGCGTGGTGGATAGGGGGTGCAGCGGGCACGACTCCGAGCCTGGCGTGGCGGCAGACCTCGCGCACTGCTGCAACACTTTGGCCGGGGTGAGCGCTAACCCTGGGACCGAGAGACCAGTGTAAGCCCATCGGCACCAACCATCGCAAGGCTCCATTCGCGGACGAGCATATATTCGGTCGGTCCAGTTCTGACGGTAGAACACACAAAGCCTTCTTTTGCATTTGTATTTCACTTTATCAGAGACAAGCGCAGGTTGGCTCGAGCAGGCATCGACCAATCCATCGAGGTGCCAAAAATCACTGTGTCCCGCCGTCTGCACAGAACGTCAGAATACAGAGCGATATTATTGTCCCAAATTGATCACTTACTGTCGGAAGTCAGTGATCACAAAACAAACCACTCACTCTGTTAAAGTCACTGCTGGATCGCTTCCGGAATAGGTATGGGACACGCGATGTTACCACTCATCATTAGCCTTGCTAGTAAGTTGTGTCTTCCCAAGTACGAATAGAGATACGGAATGACATATCTCAGCATGCTTCAGTTGTCTGACGTCAATGACATTTGACCAGAAAATAATATCTTGAACGATACTGAGCCCACAATGTCTGGAGACGCTTTCGGTATCTCAGATAAAGCCGCGTACATTCGTACTACCGTAATTAGACCGGTACTGAGCGCTACCACGACCCTGCATAAGACACGACCATCTATTAACCAATTAATATTGTTAAACACCGGACGTGTTATGAGACTGAGCATTAACAACACACTACCGGCTGGCACGTCGTCGGCATAGAATACCTGTCACAAGTCCGCCGTCTAGCTGTCCGTCAAACACCGATCGTCAAATCGTCCCAGTCTCGACCACATCGAAAATGACGGGTCGCAGAGGCTGAGGTCTCACACAAAATGAGACGATAACATGCTATGTCACCATCGGTATGACATTAAATGGATCAGTTCTAGTGACATTCCTGTCGTGAGTTGAAGTTCGGTTACTGACGGTACGGAATATATGGTCTTACGACAGTCGTTAGACGGCAGATTCTGTGCTGACGGGGTTATAAAAAAAGATGTTAAGAAAGCACTGCTAGGCATACACAGTTGTTCTAGATTTGCCGTCACGCATCAGAGTAAGATTCTTACTTTTAGACCATTCAGGACCGTAGCTTTCAAACGCAGTAGTTTGAGTGGATGTGATCGGCCACAATCACCGAACGATGAATAAAACGCGAACACAGTGGCGTGAAGAGCCACCATTGACTGTAACGACCCTATGCCTTCATTTTTCGCTGGCAGCACACCTGTGGCAGACTCCTAAACTAGACGCCCTGAGACAAACCCCCAATGCCTCGCCTCACTGAACAATTGCAGCTATCTCGCTCGCCGCAGCTGTAACGGCAGTTGCAGGCAGCCTCTGGCTAAATGGCACGGTAACAAACAGGGCCCGACCCGGCCCGGCAGTGGGTGACGCCGCTGGAGACTTCCGCAGACTGGCCGACCAAACCCCTCCCGGCAGTGGCCGCAGACCCCGCCGGCGGCGACGGCAGCTTGACAGAGCCAGCGGCTCGTCCGAACAATCCGACAAACATCGAGAGGCACCAAACACCCGACCGAGACGCCACCACTCCCCAGCACGGCACCGCCCCCGACCTACCTACGAGATCAACACACTGCGATATCACATGGGGGCCGCGCTCCGTGCCTCCCCCCCCCCCCCGCCCGCCCCGCGGCGCCGCTCCGCTAGCTGGCCGTCTTGCAGACGTCGTGTAGCGGCACCACCACGACTCGCAGCCTCAGCACGTCGCCGTCCTTCCCGAGCAGGTAGGGCGAGCGTGCATGCGAGTCGTTCAGCTCGTCGAACGACAGCAGGTCGTCAAAGTTCACCAGCCGCTCCTCCTCGGTGAAGAGGAAGCTGCGCGTGGCCACGGTGCGTACGTGGTGCACGCCGCTGGTCACGCCGTCAATGAGCACGGCCAGCCGGAACCGCAGTGGCCCGTCCACCAGCGAGCGGGGCATGAACGCGAGCCGCACCGTGCGCAGCACCAACTCGGGCACCTCGGTCATGCCCTGCCAGACGATCAGGTAGAACTTCCTGAACCACACGCCGCGCGGGTACACGTCCACCACCCACTCGACGGGCGGCCGCCGGTCGGCCTCGCTCAGACTCGCCGGAGAGTGGAAGACGAGCGTGCGCGTCAGGTAGGGCGGCAGCCGGCTGTAGTTGTCGATCACCAGAGACGCCGACCACTGTTCGTCCGTGTAGACACGGGGAGTGAACAGCTGCCGACCGGGCCGGCCGGTGCGGATCAGCTCCCGCACTCGCTCCCAGTGACCTGGGGGAACACAGGGCTCAGTCAGCGGTCAGCACGACAGGACAATGGCCGGTACATACAGGGTCGGCATATGGCGGGGTCAACGTCCGCTTTCCGGACGGCGGGAGCAAAATGAAGGATGCGGCCCCCGAGAGATAGTCGTATACCTACACGATTTCAACCTAGAGTGCAGAGGTGGGAGGGGAAGGGGTGAAGGTCACGAGGCCACAAGGTCAGGTCGCTGCCTGGACAAGCTTGCACAATGCCAAGTCGCAGCCCCGTAAACATTGCGACATGAATCACCTCATTTCATAACAGAGATTATCGCCAGGACAATCCGATCCAACGCCCCATGAGACAGAACACCTGTAAGCCGCAGCTTGACTCAGCCACCCTCACACCTAAACGTCACTATCAATCATCAAAATCACTACAAAAGTTCACCATCAACCCAGACTAGCTCAGCCCTCGCCCAATCCTCCAGCCAGCTCCGCACGCACCTGAGTGGAACGACATGCCCATCGCCATCCGCTCGACGAAGAAGTCCTTGTGGCGGCTGGTGAGGGGCACCAGCAGCAGCTCGGCCAGCTGGCGCGGCGTCATCATCGGGAAGCGCACGTGCAGCATCACCTCCTCGACCAGGGCGGACATGACCTCCGCCGGCTGGCAGCGCTCCTGCGCCTCCAGCCACCGCACCACGTGACTGAGAGGAGGGAGGGGTGCGGAGTCAGTGGTGGGGCGAGCAGCTCACATATTACGATATGAAACGCCTGACTTTTTCCATAATTGATACATTCATTGCTCTAATAAACACAGTATCGGGAAACCACACCGAGATCTCTTGACATTTCGGCTTGTGGCCGAACACATCGCCCCGAGGAGGAAATTTCCAAATCGATGGGGATGAGTCGATCAAAGACAGTTCTCCGCTATCATCGAGCGGCTCCGCATTGTCTGGCTGCCTGGAACTTCAGCACCATCGCAGTCTCTTTCGAGATGACGGAACTCCAAAAAGGTAATTAGTGGCAATGACGGCAGCCGCATTTCCGCTAATGATACCGATTGATAGTCATTGCCCGAGCTGGGAGAGCTCTCTCGGGCCCTTGGAAACCGCGGAAATGCGCCCACCAATGCCCTGCATGCTGCAGAATTGTCATCGCTCTCGCTCCGAGCACGCCCGTGGTCTCGGCAGCCACCGGGATAAAGACAAAGCGGCCTGAGATTCGGCATAGCACCCGTGCTTCCTCTAAATGGCATCGAGCAGTTATACGCGACATGCAGAATACATACATGCATGGGATTAAAGTGACCTCGCAAAAATGAGGCATGATAATATGCCAGGCTATTTTGAAGAGTTAAGCGAGCGCAACCAGCTATCTTGTGATGCAAAAGATGCCCCGTAAAAGCGGCAACGCAGCATACTGCTGCCACAAAACTAAAGGCAACGTACTTGTACAGCGTGACTTCGTCTTGGACCACCAGGTCATCTTGCTGTAGAAAGAAGAGCAGAACTTCGACGTCGAAATCCGCAAACTGTTCACTGATTGCGACCGTCTCGAAATTCCACTTGACAAAATTCACACATGCCTATAAATGGAAGAGAGAAAACAGTGTCAAACTGGCAGAGCCGAACTGTGGTGGCAACGTGGGCAATAAAATATCAATATCGATAAACCGATAGCACTGCCAGAAACTACGCAAATGCGTGCATTCGAACTTTTAATTAACGAGACGGTGAAGTGTCGACACTTTGACAGTTTTTGCTATATTTTCCAGTCCCGTGACCCACGGGCCAGCACTCCCCACCGGCCTGGGTGACCCACAGATGACCTGACCCGCACTGACCTCTGTGAGCGGCTTCTGGTTGCAGGTGATGGCGTACTGGAGCCAGGAGAC